AAACTGCATTGTAATAACTTCAACCATTAAAAAATTACTGGAGGTGCTAAGGTTATGTGACTCATCTGTATATCAAAACTTTCAATGAATACACGAGCTTTAAGGCAGCATCTCCCTCTCAGGGGTCTGTATTAGTTAAGAATAAGTCTACTCGTAGTACAATTCCCTTCCCATCATTATATTTGGCAATCCTTTATTAAGGACTTCTGATTCTTATGAAGTTCTACAATACTCTTCAATTCAGAAATGTGAATAATAAATTTCTAAGTGATAATTAAAAATCTATGGATGTGAGCTCATCATTCTGGGGACAAACAATAAAATGACCATTAAACAGCCAACGACAATGAGCCACATTTTAAAATTCTGTTTTGATTATGTGTTAACACAATTTTAAATGATAGTTGACAATATTTCAGTGCCTATTTATCACACATCTAGCATACAGGCACACATATACCCACACATTAATTTTGTATCTAACATTTCTTTTTAAGAATAGTGCTCTGAAATTATCTTTTCTCACACTAGAATTGCCTTCTGGAAATAATTCTCTCTTCAAAACCTTCCTTCCTACCTTCATAATATTTTTGACAAAATTTTCTTACATGTCTTTCGCTGGAACTTACTCTGAACATACTTTTGATTATGAGTGGATACTGCATTGTTTTGAATGTTTTATGTACATTTTCTTTCTTTCTTTCCTTCCAACCTTTTTTTCTTTGGCACTTCAGATTAAAAGAACCTAAAGAACCTTTGTGTTCTTATATTTCTTTTTTATAAAAAGGAGGAAGATTTTTTTTCCCTTCCAATTTCACATTTTTCAAAGTAATTTTTTTTACACATTTCTTTAATATTTGTAGTTTGGTGATCATTCCGTTTTATTGATAAACCTCAAATATTTATATTCAATACTTGAAAACAACAGCATGCAATCTCACTTATATCATCATAGGTGTAATTACACATAGTGTAATTACTATGTAATTGTACAGCTGTACCAATTATAATGTAGTACTACTGTACCAGCTGTAATAGCATAGGTATTACTAAGTATTCCAAGACAGCATTGGAAACTTCCAATAAACACATGAATTTGAAAGTGATGAGGGAATTTATCCAGAATTTTCAATGTATTAGTAGTATTTAATGAGACTAATCCATCATTGAAATTATGTCAAACAATTTCATCATGTCAAATATTAATTATAATAATGAAACTCAATCTTTCAATGGATTCTGCCTCTTATGACTGATGTGTTGCTGCTTTAGATTGTCTAGTACAGAGTAGGGGTAAGAAAAATGGATGAAACACACGATTTTTATAACTATTTGTGTATGTGATTATGTATATATTTATAACATCACTCTTATTGAGGTATACTCAACATTCCATAATTGGTCTAATTCCTCCATCATGTAACTTTCTAGACATAAACTACTACTGGATTTGCAAACCCAGTGAAGTAGTGGATATTTTTCGGTACATTTGTTTATTTAGACTAACTACAAATTTTTAAAATGTTTAAATGCACATTGAATTAAAGATTGGCAATAATAATCACAGATTTCACAATTTTACCAAAAAATAACCATGTTTCAAATGTTTTTGAAACTAATGGTGCAACAACAGCATATGCTTTCTTGCATTATTTTTAACATCAATGCACTATTATAATATTACATAAACCAGAAAATAATTATTCCAACCAGTAAAATTTTTTATCCGGGCTGAGATTTGAACACAGGCTCTTTAAGAGTTAACACACAAGGCATATTACTCTTACACCACCAGCCACATAAATTCAACCTATTCAATGTTTAAAAAAAGTTTTCAATTGCAATTTTCAAAACTTCAGCGATATTCATTTAATTTATTTTGAGATCTGGTTTTAAATAACTGATTACATTAAGAAAAAAATCTCCATCATCAATATTTAGTTTTGCAATGTTAATTTTTTCAAAAATTACAAGAATTTGCCAAAAATGGGACCTGTACTTTTTATGCATCTAAATTTTCTGTTTACACTTTTTTCCTTGGATAGAGCATTGGAGTCTTTTTGAGAAAATACGAGTTTAAAAATTTCCTATATTTTAATTATGTGAAAACATATTCTTGAAATTAAAAAACAAAAACCAACAACAAACAAACATGAACTTTTTAAAGATTTCTTTGAACAGATTTCATTAAGGAAAAAAATATCTATATTCAATATGTAGTCAAAAGTGGCTTCACAGGAATCAGTCCTCGGCCAGATCCTATTCATCCTTTATACCAGTGACCTAATCTCTTTCTAACCTAATCTCTCTATCAACCTAACCTCTACTTCGACTAACATGAAGTCGAAATCTCTGATGTACATGGATAACACTAAGATCTTCAAAACCGAGTGTTAACCCAGCAGAGCTGCAGGAAGATCTCCACAAGATATATGAATGGAGCGAACTATGGATGATTCTGCTGAATAAGAAAAAATGCAATTTAATGCACGTTAGGAGGAATAATCCCCAGTGCCTATAGACATTGCAGGACATGCAATGACAACAAAAGCAAAAGGACCTGGGCAACATGGTTGACATCAGATCTGAAGTGGAAATGCCACATTAACTACATAATAAGGAAGGCAAATGATGCACTATTCTTGATGAGGAAGGGACTTAAAGAGTTGGACAATAACTCCTTAGAAGCAACTTAGAATTCATTAGTACTACTGATACAGGAATATGGGAGCCTGGTATGGAATCCATACCTGTCAAAGGATATAGATCTCCTGGAAGGAGTAGTCAGAAAGGCCACACACATTCTAGTTGTCCTGAGAAGCCTTTGCTACACACATATATTACAACTACTACAAATGCAGCCACTTGTAACTCATCAATAGAGAGCAGATATGAATGAAACCTTTGAGATAATGAAAGACCTCTACAATGTCTCTGAGTCACAGCATCTATTTACATGCCCCACAACTTACAACTACGAAAGACAAAATTCAAAACTCTGCAGCGCAAGAAATTTATAAGTCAGAGATGTTGATCTCTGGAATGATCTGCCACAGTTATAGAATCAAGAATGACAAGAATTCAAGCAAAGATACGACACCTTTACAAATACACTTCATGAACATTGTGGCCAGTGAAGAATGCAGACTGTGATGGTAGAACTAAGCTGGGCCAACTCTGGGCAGACCGAGTAGCTCTCTAGACATCTGATCAACTTTGCTTCGATGATGATGATGATGGACATAAGAGTTTTTGGCTACTAATATTTATTATTATACTACTAATTTTCACTATTATAATTCCAATATTACTATTTTATGCTACTATTATTTACTATTATACTTATATGTTACATAATACTTATACTGTTTCATGCATAACCAGTGTACTGCTGGATAGTATGGATATATGATTGTAAATCAATTAAATAAATAAATATTGTAGTTGTACGAAAATTTCGGGTGAACAAACAAAGTTTTGCTGACAATCAATTTTTCAATTATTTATGACCTACAAAACCTGAATTCTTACTGCGCATGTGTTAGAGTTAGTAATTTATAAAAAATATAACTATATTTATTCACTTTTCCAATATTAGGGCTCCACGATACAAGATTTTCTATAAAACATTTGCCTATTTCTGCTGGAGTATTACAATACTAAGAATTGAGGAAGTCTTTCTCTGTACAAGTAGGTACATTACGTCAAGAAAGTAAAAACAAGGTTTCGGTGGTAATAAAAACCATATTATTATTGCTTTATTCTCATCAGAGCATTTACTAATTTTTTTTTTCAATTTAAATTTTAACAGCTAAGACTGTAAAAATGTATACTTGAACTTCCTGATGCCTTACTTCAACATAAAAGACAGTAAGCACTAGACATTTGTATTAAGGCACATTAATATATCTACAGAACATGTGTCTGATGAGCAAGGCTAAATGCAGGGTACTACCAGGTCATGCCCACATGCTAAACCACACCAACGCAAAGCAGCACTGATGCTCTTGGGTGTTCAAAGGAAAATGAGTACTTGTGAGCAGCATAAATCATAACTTACCTTGACATAGGCTGTACGCTATAAAAGACAATTAGAGAATGAAATAGACTACTCAAACAAAATACACAAGAAAATAATTTCAAGAACATACAATATGCATATAGAGATATGGAACAATCCTCTCTCTTTAAACATATTGAAAAGAAATGATATTTTGTAATTAGAGTAAATAAATAGGACTTCTTATGTAATGTAACACCACTCTTTTGAATCTATGCATGTAAGGTGTCTAGTTCCAGGTGGAACAGAGACAACTGAAAGCATCCACAGCAACTGCACCAAACACATGCACACCCATGGACAGACTCTTCCCAGCTCAACTCAAATCACAAATCCATCAACTTCAGAAATACTTTCAGTTGAATGCAATGGATTCCCTCTCCATTCAGCAATAATTTTTGACGAAGAAAATACTTTCATTTTGTGTTAACATACTATAATTCAATTTTTTGTTTACTTTGTGATGGAAAGAGAAAAACAAGACTCCATATACACACACACATGCTTTGATCACACTCACTAAAATGGAATGTTTTTCCCTCCATAATAAACCAGAAAAGCTTTGTTCTCATAAATTCAATTATTTTCTGGTTCCCTCTCAATCCTTCACTACAGAAAGTGTTTTGTTTCTGCCATGCATCTGTCTCCTCTGAAAAAACTTACATATTCAATGTATATTTAACAACAGGAAAACCATGAAGACTTAATTTTATCAATTTAATTTAAAAAAAAATTGCGAAAATATGAGTGCTTGATTCAACTGACAAAACCTTCAGCAATTTTTAATGTTGTTTCTTTGCTTGGCTCAGGCTGGAGAGTAATACAGATTCACAAATTAAAAAGAGACAACTCATGCAGAAGGCAACAACACTGATCACTACTTCATTGATGGGTCAAGTTCTCACATGCTCTAAGAAATTATTTGAAAACAACACATTACCTTTGTGCTGAGCTCCCACTCTGCTCTGCGTGGGCAGTGGATGCTTGTCATAGTGTGGATCCTCCACTTCTTGGCATCGGTAGGACAAATTCCTCAGAACACATACGCAATTTTCCACACTCTTGTTACCAATATTCGATTTTTCTATTGCTGAACGAACAACATAAAGCAGTGAGTCCACTAGGCCTTCACACTCTCGCAGCTTTTTTCTCGCATACTCTCCTGCAGAACTCACATTTCTGAAGAAAAGAAATTATTTCTTTAGGGAAAAGGAACAAAAAAGTCTTAATATACTACTGTAAACATTCCAAGACTGACAGCATGATCACTAAACTGCAAAATTTATCTAATGTTTCCTTTCAGTTCAGTCTCAGAATAAATGTTCTAGAGCAATGAAGACCGGTCAAAAATTATAACTTTTTGCCAATGAACGGTAATGAGAAATTTCATACATCTAAGTTACACACATGACATTTTCCTCTGATTTTAGGCAACTCCTTAAGCACAACATTCAGCAGGCCATGTTCTGTCATGACCAAGGAACCTATCAAACATCTGTGCACATAACATCTGTTGCCTAACAATCACGGGCAAAGAGCATAGAATTTCATTAAATACATATGTGTATATTTATTGGTAAAAAGTGATTATTTTTTGTTCCTCTACAAGCCCTAGAAATTAGTAATATTTGTTCTGAGACTATATATCTTTCACAGTGAAATATGTTCTGGGCAAAATACAAATAATAAAATTTTATTTTCTAGATTCCTTATATGTTAAGCATTTTTAATAAAATTCTATGTCATTAATTGAGACAAAAGAAGGATTAAATTCGATGCCAATTAGTGATGATGAAATACATCCAGTTTGTAGAGATCATGGTACTTCAAACACTCAATATGGTAAGTGAAATCAAATCAGCAGGTCATGCCTTTATTCACAGGAGGAGAAAGATGTCATGCCGCAGAAAGATCGCCATTTTTTAAACTGAAAAATGTGTTTTATGGGTCCCTGTTACCAAGAAAGTGATTTTTTTTCTTGCTCCTATAAGTTATAAGTTACTTTCTCATACATTGTACTCAGAACCCTCATTTTAGTTGTCCTTTATATATATATATATATATTATATATTATAATATATATATATATATATATATATATATATATATATATATATATATAATATTAAAAAATTAAAAAATAAAAGTTTCTTCTGCAATGTTAGGTATCTGTTGTACAAATTAGTGCCTAGACTGTTACAGTTTTTATGGGGGGGGGAGGGAGGAGGAGGAGGGGGAAGGTTACTTTGCATGAAACGTCAATGACATTTCCAAAATTATTTTCTCAAAAATGACCCAAAATTTCTTTAAATATTAAAATTTTAAAAAAAATTATTACAAATTAATTTCTTTTTGATCTTTTTTAGAATTAAAGATTAAATTATTTTTGATCAACAGGAATGTTGTTTGCAGGTAAACAATTGGATGGTCTGGTAGATAAGACAGTTGCTTGCAGAGATTATGTGCCTAGGTTCAAATCCTAGTCCAGGCAAATATTTTAGTTTGTTGAACCATTATTATATTACGTAACTGCTACAAATAACATAAAGAAGTATGTGATGTTGGAGCACCACTAGTTATAAATCAAGAGGCTAACCATGGCTATTCTTTCACTTGGGCATATTTCATCACTTTCTCAAACACATTCCTAAGAATTCTATTAGAGAACCATTCTTACAGATAAATTTCTAATACTACTACACCAAATGGCACTTAAAATACAGACAAACAGATTCAAATGTAAGTTCTTTACCTTAGAACACCTGAAGCGTTTCGAAAAATTGTTGACCAGCAAGTTTCTCCTGATGAAGTGGAATCCCATCCAGAATGGGGAATAATAATATGATTAACTACTACTGTCAACCCATCATCTATGATGGACCGTTTTAGATCCTAAACAAGTAAAAGAAACATTAATACACAACTTACAAATTAAGTAAACAAATTATATTTTTGAATATTACAACAGCACGCCAACAAAAATGTTGACTTCCACAACTGATTATAAAAACACTTAAACAAATAAAAGTGAGGCCTGAATTTCCACTGGCAATTGATGCACATAAAAAATTCAACATGAAGGAGAAAATTAGAAGACAGACTAATTGAGTTCTCTTTAAATTCATACTCCATGTATGCTGGAGTGCTAACTAGTATCAATTTCGCACTAACCTGTTGCACAGTGGGGAAACGCTTGGTTGGCTAAAAGTCAAAAGAGGCTCACAACTCTACAAAAGATCCCACATATAATGCCATGGATGTTGGGCAGGTTTGGACTACGTCATGTTAGCCGACCACTTATATATATTCTTAGAAAAATTGACTTCCTAAAATTATGAAAATCTACATTTCTTAGACATGAATATTTTTGCCTGACTCATTACTAAATATCTTTATCCATGAAAAGTTCCATGCTTCTCTCCCATCAGCCACTACAAATACTTTGTTTGCAAATTTGTGAACGAAACATGTTGAAAAGGGTCACAGTTATAATTAAAGGAATATTGAAAACATACCTCACAAGATGAAAGATTCCAAAGAACACCTGTCACCAATTCCTTTACTTCTGAATCAGAGGATTTCTGGAGGAGATTGATGAGCGAGGGGATGCCTCCAGCATTCTTTATAGCTCTCTTGTTTTCGTCATTTTGTCGACCATATGATAAGTTTCTACGAAGAAATAAAAACCAACAAAAACTAATGTTTATATAAAACAACTAATGTAGACATTTTCATCTTATTATGTACTTAACCACTTCTTACGAAAAAACAACAACAAAATACTGTTTTCATATTTCCCCAGTAATTTAACAACAACTTCAGAAATTTTGATTTGTCAAACACAATAATGATTTCACTTGGATGAAAATTTTCCACAAACAGCATCGAGAAGAAATGGTACACTGAGGCAATCAAGTCTAATATTTGTTTGTAGAAGCACATGTGCAACTTGCTCACCTCAGCGCACCACAAGCGTTTCTGTAGACATCTGGACTCTCGTGACTCAGCAGCATAACCAGAGGGGGGATGCCCCCAAGGGAGCGGGTCTTCTGCTTGTTGGGGTCATCCATATAACATAGGTGTTGCAAGTATGCAGCTGCATTTGCTTTGATAACATTGTTAGGATTGTTTAAAAAGCCTATCACTTCAGTCAAATTTGGATCTCTCCATCTCATTCCTGAAAGAAAGAAAGAAAGAAAAAAAGAAAGAAAAAAAAAAGAAGAAACACAAAATTAATTTACGAGTAGTTATTATTGATAAGTTTAATACAACTAGTGAAAAGACTAATTGTGTTTGTACTAAGAAACATAGGCCACTTTCAGAACTAATTTTGGCTACCATTTGGTTGAAACTTCCCCCAACAAACGTGAGCTAGTTGAAATCAAGTATTCAAATAAAATACAACTAAGATTCAATAACCACAAATGCTTCAATAACCATCAATCATTTTTAGGTTTACCAATATCTCAAAGGCAAATTTATGCAAATTTCATAGTAAAAACATGCACAGAACTCTAGCAACATCAACAATTTCTTTTCATTGTAGCAATTATGTCTTACTTGAAAAACATCAATAAAGCATAGGTCACTTTTATCAAACAACTTCCAATATAGAACATAACAATGATATGAATTTCTCTATAATCTTGAATATTCACGTTTAAAATTACATGTATTCATTGCTTACAATTTTCTCTCTTAAACACTAGAATACCTAGAGGGATCTTTTAGACTCTTGTGTTTTTTATGTACTTGTAACTTCTGTTTTTACAGACAGGAGTATGAGATTCCATGACTTTTCATCATTTTCATTAATTTACCAGGAAGTTAAAAACAAACAAAAAATATATTTCATGAAAAATAATAAAATTTATCTAGAATGCCCAGGTGGCGTCATTTTGACTGCTTGGGTACTGATCCTATACTGTAGCTTCTGTTTTCTGTATTTCAACACTGAAAATTTTAAAATGTTTCTCCTAGTATTTCACATGCCTATTTTTTCCAGTTTTGATAAATTTCAGTTATCAGGTCTTCTAGTGCAACACATGCAAATTGTAATCACACTAAGGAATAGTAGTATATTCACATGATGATTGAATGACGAAACATTTCTTTAAAATATTAAGATAAAGAGAAATGTTTGAGTTTAGAAGTGAACTTTCTTATAATGGAGGGCATTTCAGAGTCCAGGTGGTGATAGTCACATAGATTTTTTTTGAAGGTCAATCAATGTCTCATTTCATGACTTTGAAATTAGTAAGCGAGGTTTGAGAAGTAATCACCAGCTGCTTACACTGATTGATTATTTCGTGATATTGAGTGCATCAACGGCTAGGGTCGTAAGTCGTCTAAGTGTGGTGCATGTTTTTTATTGCAGAAGACTGTCCCTGACCTGCAAAATGTTGAGAGTTATTTCACGTGAAGGCATGCCCTGATGCGTCATAAAAACCGAAGTATAAGAGCGAGTTTTCAAATTTGTACGAATGCAATAAAGCAACATTATAAACATTCACAATTTTTTTTGTTGTTGTTGGTATAACAGCATTACGAATCTATTCGAGAATCATACTTCATTTTATGAAACAACTTCCTTGTGACGTCTCGGGTATTTTGACATCTGTGCGAGAAAACAGTGGCCAGCTGTTCTGTTTACATTAACCTCCCCTCAATTGGCTGAACGTGTGATGACTCAATTATTCGTGTGGTAAAATGTTAATACGTCATGTCATCATAAATTTTGAAATAAGGAAGGGGTATTCAAAATACTCCAAATTTGCTTTACATAATTTATGGACAGCCCTTAACCACTATTACTTAAATTTTTTTGATAGATTTCTACTATTATCTTTCAATGGAATGTCCTGCCGGCTTTAATTTTGTATAAATAAATAAATAAATTTAAAAAAATATCACCCCGTTCTATCAGTGTGAAACACAAATATGAAAAAGCCATGCATCAAATAAAATACGTAACAACTGAGAGATAGTTGAAGTGCAATGCAAAACAGTTATTTTTATGTCACATGTGAAGATGGTATTATTTAAAATTAAATGTTCATAACATATTTTCTACTGGTGTATTTACAACAACATTCATAGATAGAAGTTAACTTTCAACATGTTCTTTTTATTCTATTTACTTGTGCATTCTGGTCAAGATATATTTTTAATTTCCATCACGCACAATAGTAATGGCAAGAAATGTTTAAAATGCGTTGAAGATGTAGTATAATTATATACTTATACAATAAATTATCAGTCTGGATAGTGTTATAGTGACATGGATACATGTTATTGCAATATTTCCTCTTAAGAATCTCTGAATCAACTGAGTCAAAACAAGTTTGCTGGGTGTTCAAGGGTGGTACCAGGCGTTCTAGTATTAGAGAGAGGGACCTGTCTGAGTCACACTATGAGGAGGGATCAAGTTTGTGCTTATACCCTTGTATATGAAAACCTGCTCAAACAAAGAGCTTACCCCGCTGTTCATCATCTACAGATGGTGAGGGGATGGCTGGGTGCATGGACAGATGCTTCCGCAGTTCTTCTTCATCTTCGAAAATGGTTCGAGTTGGAGGGCCGTTTTCCTCAAATGTCCGAGGATCAGCCCCATTTGTGCCATATGCAGCTGGCACAGTACCATAGGGAGATGGAGGTGCATAACCGTACACTAGTTTTGACTCATCACCTGTAAAAAAAACAACAGTGAAAATAATGTTTGTCAAATCCTTACAAATGTATTGAGACTGAATTAGATTTATAAGACTGGATTTTGAAAATTACCATATCGATCCACAGGTGCTCCTGGAGATGGAGTTATTCGATAATGTTCTTGCCGAGGAGGAATTAAAGTTGAATCCAGTTCATCAAACCCCGGTTGAGCGAAGGGTGCACCTTTTTGTAAATAATCTACAATATAATTAAATGACTAAATGAAAGTACATGCTTCACATTAATCAATACTAATGATCTCCTCGAACTGGATGTTTTAATTTACAAATAGTTGTGCATTTAAAATTATTTGATGGAGATAAATCAACAATTTTCTTTTAAATAAATGGTTATGTTTTATTTTGGTGTAAATAGTTTCATTAATGCAGACAATTCAGCAAGTACTTGTTCCACACCATGAAAATTCAAAGTGATATTTGATTCAATATGCCCCAATACAATACCCACACAATATTATCTAAATTACATTATTATAAATAAAGCTGCTTCTCAATGGAGCAATTACTAATCAACTAACAATAAATATTCAAACTCGTCAATGAAAGGCCCAAAGAAGAGAATAGTAAATGCTCAGTAACTCAACATACAGAAGTTAACACAATGAATTGAAAGAAAATTATTCGAGTTTCAAATCTCAAATCACATTCCTCTATTGAAAATAATTAGCTGATTTAGGTTAATTCAAAGTAATTTCATTTTGCCAATTAAATTCATGGGAAGAGGAAAGGCAATAAAGGAATTGTTTGTTTCAGAAACCTGTCAAATGCCAAATTCCTCGTTCTGACAAAACTGAGAAAAGTTTCACAATTTATCTGATTTCATTTTATTTGTATATTTTAAAGCAGTTGATCAATGAATATTTTTCATATAAATATGCACTAAACAAAGTGTCTCCGCTTGGAGCAATAATCTGCCACTAATGTGTCTATTAGATTTTGGCATTTTGATGGGTTTCTGAAACAAACAATTCAAATTTACTAACCTAACCTGGTGAATTTATCTATGGTTATTATACAGACTAATTAACCCTTAGATGCTTGGATAGAAGCAAATTTTTCTGAACACACACATGCAATACTTTGAGGTGTATTTCCATTTGGACAAGGAATGACTTACAAACGGTTACGGAAGAGTTTACATAATCTTCCTTTAAATTAAAGAAGTTTTTGGATAATCTTGCATATTCAAGTTCTTTAAAAACAAAATGATTTGATGAAAACTTTGTAGCCAATAAGGATGATAGGTCAACATGGCAAATAAGTCAGGTTCAAAGAATAATTAAGGCTCAGCCAAACAAATTCGAGGTTGAGACAACCAATTTTTGTTATTGTTGATAGGGGATATTTCAAGCGTTCTTATTTTGTCATACTTTTCTTGGTACTACATTTGGCAAACAGAAATTCACCAGAGTGCCACAGATATTCAACATGCCAATACATGCTACAAGTATGGTGTATTGCTTGTAGAAGTTTTCTTGATACACGAGTTTCCTAGTAATCACTTAGCACTGATAGCATGGCCCAGTGAGATACTTAGGTTCAACTCTGAATTGCACGTACCAATTTACAATGATGGTAAGTAGCAACCACTATGTACTTTCAAAACAATCGAAGCATTTTCTCATGGCACACTTTAGCATGTTCAGTTCACGCCCACAGTTGGTATGCCCTTTTAAGCTGTGACATAGCCAGAGCCCTCTTCTCTCCACACCCCCCACTGTGGAATATCAAGAAAACTTGTGCATGTAGTACAGCAGGTGTTCCCAACAGGGACAGTATTGACCTTTTGGGGGTCGATGACCCTTGAATGGGATCAATAATGAATAAGTGGTTAACTGAGGGTCAATGGACAAATATGAACCATCAACTGAACGATGTGATCAAGATCCCATTGATTACAAAAAATAATAACGAAGTTGGTAATGAATTGTTTTTAGATATAAAGCTAATATACATCTCAATAAAAAGAACAAGTGATTTATATGCAATCTTTATGTTATGATTATATTGTAAGCTGCATATTAGAGAGATAAGGGGTTTGATGAAGACAAACAATTCTTCTAAAGAAGGTCAGTGCAAGAAAAGTGTTGGGAATCCCCAGTGTACAGCAATGCTGGATTATTCTCTTTGAGATCTTACTATCAGGTAATTGGGAAATGTATAACGAGACACTAAAAACATGATGGTGGAAGAATATGTGAAATTTCAACCCCCTATCACATTCAGCTACCTCAAAAAATTAAAATATTGCAATTGCCAGGACAGGGCACAGCTAAACTTTGCTAAGGTTTGAAAGAAATAAAGTAAAATAAAATAAAATTTAACAGCGTTTGTTATCCAAGACATCATGCATACATTCATGTTAATTTTCATATTAATACAATCACAATACATTAAATTTGCAAGAACTCTGTATACACTACAGATTCACCCCCTCCTCTAAAATTATTTCTTTACTTATTTGACTTCTTAAAAAAAGAAAATTAACAGTTATGCAATAAAACAGCTTTGGTGGAGTACAGTTATCCAATAAAAGCTCTGAATTCACTTTTGTGACACCCTCTAGTTACTCACCATGTTGCAGGGCTTGTTGCAGAGGTGGGGACTCGCTTCTTTCGCTGGGACTTGGAGGAGTGGGAGGTCTCTCTCCATACGCAGGCTGCTCTGCATAGTTGGATGCATCACTATAGGCTGGAAATGTTCCTGGGTAGGGAGGATTTTGATAAGGATATTCAGGTTGTGGGGGGTATTGCTCATAGTCTTGGTAGTTTGGATGGTATGTTTCTGGATATCTTCGAGCTAGAAAAAAAAAAAAAATGTTGTAATCCTTAATACAGTATGCTTATTAGTAATTAACTAAACATAGCTTTTTTTCAGTACTTAAATGATGGTTCATTTTATTGACCAAATTTCTTAAAATTTAATAATCAATATTTCAACTCTAGCAGTAGTTGTCAACATTGGGTTCAATATCACAATGAAGGTGCAATAGTTGACTGTATTTGTAAATACCCTTTACAATTCAGAACAGCAACTGAGATTCATGGGTATATTGAAAATCATTAATAAATGAAAGATGAATTGCAAAATAATATCAGATAAATGCAAAGAGGAATTTGGTGGGTTGTTAAAAGTTGCTTAAATCTGCAAAAATTACTCTACTCATGAAATGATGAGAAAGGGAAATAAAAGTAAGAGATGTTGAATAGTTGCAGATAATACCAAAAAATGCAAATTGCTGTAGAAACGAAACCTCTTATATTACATTCTAAAAAAGCTCACCTGGATCCATAGGGGGATATGCCTCTTGTCCAGCCATTAATTCATAATTAGAAAACTGTGTGTGTGGGTAAGTAGGTGCAGCAGATGTTGGCAGCACCCCTGCCCCTGTGTAGGGCAGCCCTGAATGGCTCACGTAGTCAACCGGTTGCCCATCAGCTCCAACATGATGCACTTCCCGAACAACTTTAGTCAGAGTAGTCACCTAGAGACGGGACCAGCACACAATTCAGAATTTCAATACACAAAACAAACAACATATAAGATGATGCAACACTCGTGAAAAACGTGATAAGAAATATTTCTCCTTAGGCATGCAATTTTGACACTGCATCCTTTGAATTAATCCATGGATCCATTGTTGAATCACATAACCAATCTCTAGCTGGAATTCTTAATTTCTCGATCTAGACAATAGTTAAAACTTGAAAAGGAACAACAGTATGCTAGATTCCTGTTGTTATTTCAAGTTGTAGTGTGGCAAAATAATTTGTAACGCAGCTGCCCCCTCCTAGTACTAACTTATTAACCAATCGCCTACACAAAACAAGCATTGTTCTGGGTTTATTGCTGTTTATTGCCCGGGGACACTCTCCTCTGAGAAGATGCAGGTCTTACTGAGCAAACTTATGCAAGAAATATATAGATATATGATGTGTGTGTTACTATACTGTTATATAATATTCTTTACAAAACATATGTTATCTAATACTGTAAAATTTTAGATATTAATAATTTTATAATTATTATATTTTTTAATGTCTTGGGAAGATATATTTTTCATTTTAGGGGACATCATGGCATCAACAGCTAATGGTCAATTTTCAAGAGCTTCAAGCATGGAGAGGATATGTGCCAGAGGTAAAAATGTTCAGATGATACTTCACGCTGGAGAACAAAAATGAATTAGAAAAGGAAATTGATGGCAAGTGAGCGAGCGAGAGCGAGTGAGCGTGAGAGCGAGTGAGTGAGAGAGAGAGCGTGAGAGCGAGTGAGTGAGAGAGAGAGAGCGTGAGAAGCGAGTGAGTGGAGAAGAGAGAGCTGAGGCGACGTGAGTGAGAGAGAGATTTTAGCGTGAGAGCGAGTGACGTGAGAGAGAGAGAGCGTGACGAGCGAGTGAGTGAGAGAGAGAGAGGCGTGACGAGCGAGTGGTGAGAGAGAGAGAGACGTGATGAGAGCGAGTGAGTAGAGAGAGAGAGAGCGTGAGAGGCGAGTGAGTGAGAGAGAGCGTGAGAGCGAGTGAGTGAGAGAGAGCGTGAGAGCGAGAGCGAGTGAGAGCGAGAGCGTGAGTGAGAGTGTGAGAGCGAGTGAGAGCGAGAGCGTGAGTGAGAGTGTGAGAGCGAGAGCGAGTGAGAGAGAGCGTGAGAGCGAGTGAGTGAGAGAGAGCGTGAGAGAGAGAGAGAGAGAGAGCGCGTGAGAGAGAGAGAGAGTGAGAGAGAGAGCGTGTGAGTGAGAGAGAGCGAGCGTGAGAGCGAGTGAGTGAGAGAGAGCGTGAGAGTGAGAGAGCGAGTCTCCTGTGTATTCATTTACTCATCATTGCATTCACTTCCTTTTGCACAGATTTAAGATTTTATTAAGTAAGAATGAAATTATAGTCGTGTCATCGTTTCTTCATTCGCAATATTATATATTTTCCATGAGTTGACAATTTCACAGTCAATCAATTTTTCTTTTTGTCCTTTTTCCATCAGAAGATCATCTATATTTTCCTTATCTGTCATTTTGTCAAATTTAGGAGGAATGTGCACAGAATCAATCGTACTTTCAGAAATAAGATCAACATCATCTTCCAGAAAGAAGTTCAGCAGTTGATAGAAGCCTTAATTTTCTTCTATCTTTCCCGAATCGAAATTTTTGCAGAAGATAAATAATTATACTTGAATCATTGTTTATACAATGATGCAACAATGCAGGATAAGACTATCTCCACGATGAGATAATTATATCAAGAACAGAAATACAAAATGGTAGTTACATTCTTCAATGATTACATTCCAATTGCATTTGTTCTATCATGTTCAGACCATATACCCCACTGATCCCGAATTTGAATATCAATAGCACAATTCACTACATTATCTCAAAGTTTGAAAGTTCAACGAAGCTAAAAGTTGTGATTACGCAATGCTGGGACTTATTGGGTTAACAAACAAAGGATCAATCACCAATTAAACAGCAAAAGTGCACAGCCACTGCAACATTCAACCTTCTCCCCCACAGGCTCATGTATAATCCTAACATTCACACAAGCTTGCACAAAAGCATGTGTACTCTGCCCATATGAACAAAAGTGTGTTACAATTACATGTAATTGTACACACCTGGGTCGTATAAGATATGCGAACCTCTTTAATGGGCTTGAGCATTATGGAGACCACAGGTCAAAAAAAAGAACAATTGCAGTATACCAGATCCATACTATAACAAGCTCCCTTGTTACAGTATCATGGATCTGGTATACTGCAACTTTTCTTTTTCATGTTACAAAACAATTTGAAACCATTTCTACATGAAATCTAAAACAAGTGTTTTCTTACATTGTTACATGCAAGAACAGAAAAAATCACAATATATTTCACCTTGCCACATTTAAAAATTTGGAGAAAATGATTGTAAAATAGTCGCCTCTGGGTGTAGTGAACTCGGATATAGAACACCCTTGGTTATAGCGAACTTGTCATGGGCCCCGTTTCATTTACATTAGAAATAAACATAAGAAGACTTGGTTATAGTCAACCTGAACCTCGGCTATATTGAAGGTCGGAAATACAACGTTCTGGAAATTAATTTCCTCCTGGAAAAGAATACGGGTATATCGCCTCAGTGCCAAAAATCCAAAACTAGGCAGCTTGAAAAAATGGTAGCCAAAGCCCATAATAGGAGTGTTACCTGGGGTGGAGGTAGGGGACCGGGAATGGGCACCATACTGATGACCTTATGCCACTCAGTTTCACGGGGAATCGAAGACCGTGTCCTGCGTGGACTACTACACCCTGGGCGGCGGCGACGCGCGATTGCTTACTTCAGTATCAATCTTGGTGTTACTTCATATTCCGCGGGTCAAAGCGCGTTGAGTTCGGCATAGGCGACAGGAAGCACGCGACTGCTACAGCCTGGCGATATCCGCCGTGCCGCGAGGAAAAGCGATCAGTTTCATTAGCCGCTTGCGCCATCCCGCTACCGAAATATATTATTAGGCGAGTAAAAGAGCCTTCAGAGATGGGACGCTATTCCAACAGTGATAGAGGCATTGAAGGGTGTCAAGTCTGCATTACGATATTTAGAGGGCTTTATTTAGATCACATAGAACACTAGACTTACAAGAAAATTGGGGGAATTACGTCTCGAGGCGATCTACTGACTATCTCGTTAATTGCTCTCAGAAGCTCTATGAAATCTTACACACAATTTGTAAATGACGATGGAGCAATTTAGCATTGTTGGTAGTAAATTCAGGAAAGAAACTTTTTTGTCCCGTGGAAAAGTCTACGGAACCCATTGGATCCTAAAATGCCTTGGAATTACTCAGTTACGACGACTTTAAGTGGGAAGAGTATTCTATTTAATGTAGTAAGCTAGAAAATTGTGTTGTCAGAATCACATGTTTTGAGGGTCCTTGATACCGAAAAATCGATCGACGGTAAAACGTCCGTGTATGTCTGTGACTGTGTCAATCCATGTCTCTTTGCGGTCAATTCTAGCGTCTAAACCGTTCAGAAAATGCCTCCAAAATTGATATTTCACGATTGATCTGAAAGAACGAGGCCCTGTGAATTTGAAATGGGGAAATTTTGATTTTTGGGGTACTTCAACATGGAACCTCAATAACATTTTTAACATTTTAAAAAAAAACTTTAAATTTTGAATTAAACTTACAGTTGTGGAAAAAATATTGGATCACCATTCATTATTTTTTTAAGACAGTGTAAATCTATGAATTGTTGTTCAATTGTAGGTTTTTGTATTTTGACTTTATTGTTCTCCTGGAACATATTCTCTGAGAATGTATAATTAATGGTCAGCAATGACTGTAACAACTGATCTGTTAGTTGATCCATTTCTTATGAAATCCTTCGTGCAGAATGATGGGCAAACGAGTGGAGTTAACACCGAAATATTGATTGATTGAAGTTTGGAGGCCGCTTCAACTACTGATGTCACTGGTGTCCGTGTCAAAGTATTTCTTTTACATTCACATAGATTTAGTAAAAGGAATGTTGCACATGAAACTTACCCGCTGACGAAAAGCTTTTACATAACCTAGAAAGAGGGCTTGAATTCCGCATAAACTACTAGTGTACAAGTAGACAACAAAAGGTCAAGACCAAAAAATCGCAATGCTTATAATAAATGTAAAACTGGCTGTTAAGGGACCACGAAACGTATACTATATTATTGTCCTTTTCTCTCAAAAGAACAAAAAAGCTTTGAGAGCGCGGACGTCATTCTCATCGTCGAGCACCTCCCGTAAGGAGTTGCCCACGCCATGTCTTCGTCCCCTGCCATAGAATTTTGTACAATGCAGCAGGAAATGTTCCACAGAAAGAACCGTTCTGTATGAGTCGCAGATGGGAGGAAATTCATCTCGAAGTAGGACACCATGAGAAAAGTGGCATATTAATTTAATAATATATTTAAGGATGGATCCCCAACCTCAGTTAAAAGGCACTCGAATCGGCGGGTGTGATGCCCACCTGTTGAGAGGCGGATACCAGCGCGGTGAACGCTGTTGATGGGTCGGAGAGTGGAGGGAGCTGCAAATCTGTTAACTTCACTACCGTAATCCAAAACTGAACGGATGAATTCTCTATACTATAGACGCAATAGGCTAATGCGGTCGGCTTCCCTTGACGTACCACTCAGCATACGAAGATGATTAAGAGGGAATTGCTGTTAACTTGACTGGTTTCTTCTAAACCAGCTTTGGATTATCATCAACAGACGTTTACACTCCAGGTCCAGAACAGACGCTGATTTACCATACGGTCCAGCACTTTATAAGCAACTTGTGAGAGAAATGGGTCGATAGCTTGATGGCAATGATCGAACTTTCCTTTCTTTGGGAACTCAGATGGTGGCTTCTAGCCATATAGCAGGGGTGTGCTCTGCACAGTAGTAGACTCTGAGGAGCAATTGCGGGGCGCTTCAGCAAGACGATGTAGCATTATGTTATGGATTTCATGTGGAATTGGGGCATTTCCGTTCGCATGCGCAGAGCGCATTTCACACGTCGAGAATGGGGTATTGTACTCCTCATAGGATCTGCTCAAAAATCCAAAGCGCTGTTTTCCATTCTTTCTTTGAGCAAAAGAAGTCTGGAGCATAATGCTTCAATTCAAATAATTCTGTCTTCAAGACTAAAAACCAGTTATTGATCTCAGAAATCTCATTTATGTACATTGTACTCCTACACTTTTTTTGGTAGTTGTCCAGTTTTCACTTCCATGAAGACAGGGTCTCTTAACACTTTAGGGAATTTAATCATTTTTTCCCTTCAAATGTTTTTTCAGTGTACTTATGATTTTGTTTGGTTCATACGATTTCAATTTTACTTGTATATCTATTTCTCCTCTGAATAACACTTTGTATCCCAGAAAGTTACAAGTTGGAATTTGCTCTGTAGGTGAATGTACAAGTAATTTAGAACTAATCATCCCCTGATATGCTATGTCTTTTGTTTTTACTTTCTTGTAATCCCTCATAACATATTCTAGGCAATCATACATGAGAATTGTAGTTGTCAATCAACATGAACAATGCACATTGTTGCAACAACATACATGAGGTATACGAGTCACGTATTACATTCAATAATTTCAATGTATTTCAACAAGTCATTCATTCTTTCATTGAGATAATTTCTTATCTTTTTCTTAATTGTTTATTATATATTATAAGGGACTTAATGCATGGATGTAAAAACATGTAGACAATAAGATAACTTAAAATATCATCGTAAACTTGCACAGACAGTTTGTACATTTGTTACCTTCTGTAAATCAAAGGTGCTTTCATAGAACATTTCCTCATTTGCTATAGTAACTTCCAAGAATATGATTCCTCAATGACCTGCTCATCAATAAAAATGTTTCAGAACAAAACCAACTCTTTCAAAATACATTTTTAATTATTCTTCTACTAGAATGGTTTCTGCAACGTACATACTCTGGTTGAGATATATTTCGCAAGATATATTTAAAATAATTATTTCTCTAAAATGTTCTCAAACTGAATGATCTTTTCTAAAAGACCGGGCATATTACTCCAAGTTTCAAATCTTGGGGTGTGTTGGGGCAGTTGAGGCATGTGTACGGCAGTAAAATATTTTACAGTAGCAAGCTGACAAGCAGCGGCCATTGGGCACAAGAATGCGAGTTTGTGGTGCCAGACGGTGAGGCACAGTTCTTAAATGGACACGTTATATCACATGACAGTAAAAATCTTAATATTTTCTGGTAGGAATGTGTCATTGTTTATAAGAAAAAATAAATAAATAAAAAAAAATCAATCTTCAAAAAGCATTCACTATATTTACCTGCTGAGTAGTTTGTTGCTTTTGTGTACGAGACACGAGGGTGGCAGCATCACCGCTTTGAACAGAAAGGTGAGATGAATTAGGCGAGTGATTGTCCTGGTGGCCATTGGTGGGGTGATATGGCACATCTAATGAATAAGAGTTGCCTTGATGTAGCTCAGGTTGACCTCTGAAACAGTAAGAGGGGGGAGCTGAGCTACAGAACCCATTTCACCCCACAAAAGGCAGCACACAATACAGTTTATCATTTCAGACGTGTTTAAATTCATACTACCAGTCAATCAACTCCAAAAGGAAGAAAACAAGTTTCTCATGTACATTCAAATGGGGCAAAAGGAACAACATAAAAAGGCATGAATCACCTGCCTCATTGAAAGAAATAAATAACTAATAAGGATTTTAAAAGAAAGGCGTATATAGCTATTTTCTCTTATGCAAAATATAGAGAAATTTATGTACTCTTGCAGGAAAAAGTGTTGATTTTTTAAGGAAAGAGCAAGAGAGGAAAGGGAAGAAAAAAAGAAAAGGGTCCATGTTGACAATTTGAATTTTTTTTGCTCAGACAGTATATTTTTTTGTATATAGAGTACAGTAAAAATACACATGGGTCTATAAACATGGGGTCCTTGATATTGAAAAGTGTTTTTTTTTTTTCTCAAAACGTCCGTTTCTAAACAACACAATCACTGTCCATTTTCATCAAAATGGACATTCTGTAATTTTTCTGGCTGATCTCATGAACCCACAAATTTGAAATGGATCTTTTAATTTTAACATGTATATTACACGAAGTAACTAGAGCATTTTCAAAATTTCCTCAAAAGTTGCTCCAAGTTCTTAGTTTGAATAGAGCATAGTCCGTTTAATGATGGGAAAAGTTTATATGTTCTAAAAAAGAACTGAAATTTTGAAAATTGCAAAAGTTAAATATTTTTCGAAGACCTTCTACAACTGGATTATTAGAGTTTAATGCAATACATTCCTCATCATTAATCTTAAAATAATTCCATGTACATTAAAAAAAAATATTAGGAGTATTTTTTTGCATAATTTTGAGTTATAATGAATTAGAATTACTGAAAAATTAAGAATTTATTACAGCATTTTAAACGGATGGCTTTTGACTGATTTGGTAGCAGTAGAAATCTCTCTTGCCTTGTGGTATTTAGTGCTCAAGTTCAAATCCTAGCCTGGGCAATTATTTTTTTTTAACTCAACATTTTGTATGAATAGAGCACAATACACTGAATTCAATGACAGAAAGCCATTTTCATTTCAACATTTGAAAAGTTAATGATTTGTATTTTTTCGAACTCTTGTGCTTTATTTGGTTGGGTTTTTTTAAATAGATAGCTGAAGTGTTAGAATCTGTATTTATTGATGCGCCTTTCAGACTGACAAGTACCTAGAAACAAATATACCTTGCAAATAATGAATCAACAGGAAAACAATGTATTAAATATTATATTTTAAACAATCAGAAAATCACTTTAATAGGTAAATTCATAAAATTTAATGTGGTTAACAAAAGGCTATTTGTATTTTTTCACAGAGCAATAGTTCTTAAGAAGCTTAAAAGAAATCTTGAAGTGCAATTAAGAAAGCGAGCAAATGCTCTTGGAAGCTTTCAGTAACATCCCAAAATTATCTTCCATCCAAAGAATAAAGTTAACCCATACTTGTCCAAAATGTTTAATATACACTAGTGGCATACCCATGTGGGGTTTCGTGGGGCTCCATGAGACTTAATTAGTTAGCATTAATGAATTCACAAAGATAAGAAAAAGTGAGGGGAGCTCTGGTGATTGTTTTCCAGACCTGTCAATGTCTTGTGACAAACGACAGTTAATTATTCTTTTCTATCCAAGCAATTTAAAAACATTGGTACTTAAAAATAAGGTACTCTCTCTTTCAGAATGTGTTTGCAAAGGTTTTTATCAACAAGCTTCTAAAAACTTGTTTTTTACTTGTCTCAACTATAAAAGTAAAATTGTTGTTCATGCTATCCATAGGAAATAGGTAAAAACAAATACTAAAAAAAAAAAAAAAACAATAAATAATGATGTGAACATGCAACCTTAGTTCCAAACATTGATCGTGAAAATGTTTAAGTAAGAGTTAAGATCCACTCAATTCAATCCTGAATTATCCTAACCTTAATGTTCATTACAATAAAAGTAGGATCACTAAACTTGCTCATACAGAATGAATTAGATAAAACTTCAAAGAACCAGATTGGGTCGAACAACCAAGACTACTGGAAATCTTATAGAATAATACTGACTGACCTGGCTAAAGAAGCAATCTTGTTCATTCTGCTAATACCAACAAACTTGCATTGATTTCAGAAAAGACTTCAATTTCCTACCAGACTCAGATTTCTATTGACAGGGAAGTAGGAGCATTTATAATAGGATAATTTACGAGTTGTGCAGATACTAATTTAAAATATCCATCCTTTCTTCAAGGATGGATTTTGTGTGTGTATTATTAAGTGTTGATGCCAAAATATTTGTTCTAGATAGGCAAACCCAGAATGTAATTCACATTGAACTTTACTTAATAATGCAATTTTATTACAAAAAGCACTTAGGTCAGCCTATTCACATTTTTGTTAAGAAAGTACTGTCCTTTTCACTCACTCATTCCCATCAAAATACGTTTTTTTAAATTTTTTTAGATTAACATCAGCAATTATCTGTTGTATTAAGTTTTAAAACAGTACAATAACTAGTACTTCTCTCAATTCTTAGCAATCTCAGGTACACATTATCAGTATTAATCTAATTGTTCTTGCAAGTTTGTGATAAGTAAAAAAAAAAATCAATATAACAAATTCAAAATTATTTAAGCCTTTCACTTAATATTTACTGAACTAGATGTAATTTCTGTTTTTGAGTACATAACCTATCTTGACAGCACATACAAGAACCTTGTCAGATCCCCTCATTATGCAAAAACAACTATTAAGACCTGAAACTTTACTAAAATATCAAATCCAACAATTCATCATCCCAGGCAAGCTCCATACTAATCAACTATCCAGACTGTGAGTCACCAAACACAATAATCCAATACATAACTTCTTCAAATGTTGTTTAAAAAATGTTGCTTTGATATTTCCTATAAAAACTAAACAATGAAAAATATTGGGAAAGTTCCTAAAGGCTGAATTAACATAAATTCTGGCCTGACTCTTCCTTAAAATGGTTATTTAAAAACTGATGTACACAAATAAAACCATCAAACAATAATTTGTAAGGCATTAAACAAAAAATTTGCGAAGGACACAGCTTTTGTGATTGATGTGATCATTTGCACCCATGTTGAATTGTTTTTAAATTTATAAATAGGATAAAATGAAAAAAGAGTAGAAGACATTAAATATAATAAAATTCAAACCCATAAGATGATGTATAAAAGGAAATGAATTTCAAAAGTTTTAAAATGTGGCTGAACAGGAGTCATGTACATGATAAAACACAGCCCTCTTCCCTCAAATCTTACAGCAGACTCCACTTTCTCATAAAAAGGCAGAAAGATTGCTCCATCAACAGAGATCCAACAAAGTAGTTTTGGTTCTCTATCAATTGATCAAACACTGGGTAACTATGTTATTTATATTTTTAGTTCAATTTATCATTTTAGGTTTAATATTCATGATAAATTTATTTTTATTCTTGTTTTGTCTTCACAACTTCCCTCTATTTGCATTTCTCTATCACCTTTGGGGCCTTTTGCTTTCAAGAAAAGTATGAATACTTTTTAATCCCACAATTTTAATAGGTATTTATTATTACATATTAAAACATGTATGTGTACATACTTCACATGTTTCTTCAAATTGACTATGTTGTAGAATGGGCAATCTCACAGCAAATGAGAAACTTAAAAAACACAAAAACAATCTTGTTACTTTGTAGAAACAATGAAAAACTGGCACACATTTCATGAAACACACATTTTTCTAAGATAATGTAAATTAAAAACTCAATAATGGCACAGGATATGAACACAGTAAGGTTGCCTTATTGTTATTTAGCTAACATATCCAAAACCATTGTTACTCTTTGCATGAATGATCTTGAAAATCAAAAGTCAAATAATTAACACTTCCTATAGTAGGAAATAAATTACAAGCATCTCTATAAGTGAAATAGAATATCAAATGTACAATACCTATGATAAGACCAAACAATGGACATTTTATACTGTTTGACAATTTGTCTGGAATAACAACAGAGTTAGACCAAGTAAAGTAAAACAAGTATAGAAATTAAACACAATCATTTACTTTTCAGAGAAGCGTACAAAATCTACAATAGAAAAGAACTTCCCTATATCATTTTAAAGCTCAAGAGAATAATGATTCCAATTGCCAGCAACTAATTCATACAATGTTTTGTGCAAGATGGAAGTTTTCACTTCTCAACAACCAACAGAACTTCTCTATGCACCAAGACAACAGCACGAATAGCTAAATATTCAACCAAAATTGTTGCTGTTCTGTGGCATGAAAGACATTACAGAGCACTTGAAGGTTCATGGATAACCTTAGAAAAATCTTTGGAAATCTGTTTACAAACACAACAGCAGCAGATTTCTCAAGGTGAAAAAAATCAAAATCAGAAGCAATTTTCTAAATTTATGGTAAGTACAAGATCACTGGCAACCATGATACAAAATTCACTTTTCTTACAATGTCTCTCCAAAATTCCTCATAGTGTTTAGTGCCTGCTTGATGGTGCGTTTGGGGAGGACATAGCCGGTTCAGAAAGCATTTATTAGTATTAATAAACAGAATATTCACTGAAATAATTATAAACATTGTCATTGCCAATAATAGTATTTACTATAAGAGCAGCTTTTGATGGCTTAGCCATCATCATCAGTTGTCTGCTGAATGGAAGCCACAAAAACGACTACTGTAGTCATCATTACATCGAAATCTGCTCTTATAGTAAATACTATTGTTGGCAATGACAACGTTTATAATTATTTCATGAAAAATGCCAACGATAACGCACCACAACACCTATAGAATATTCACTACCTAAGCTGCACTTGGCACAACTCTGAAGAAATTTACAGCAGGATGCTTTTAAACGGCTTACAACATTTTTGATAGTCATTTATTTTATTTTACTCTCTAACCCTTTCGACTTATGCCTTTAAGGGCACTCGTTTGAATAGCCATATATATTTAATGTGGTATGTCCATGCAATATATGAGTAGTCATAATAGAATTTCATTTACTTACGTATACTGCAGCATATCAGGTGTCTTTTCCTGTAAAACTCTCCTGGAAACGAGAAGTGTAAGGGTAGATAAATAATAACAGCAATAATAATAATAATAATAATAATAATAATAATAATAATAATAATAATAATAATAATGTAATTATAATAAAAAATAAAAAACGGCCTTTTCATATACCCTAAAACAAGAGTCCCTAATCTAATATGGAAGTTCCAATTACATCATTGGCATTTAAAGAGTATTGGAACAATTATTCCATTTCTATAATAAACTTTAAAAATTTATTTCCTCTTTTAAACAGAATTAATATTTACATTTCACAAAATAAATGAACCCTAGAAAAATTATATAAATTCAGAAAAGGAGAGATCAATTGGGAATCTGAACTAAAAACCATAAATGAGCTTCAAGTGATTCTAAAATATATAAAGTAAGACTTCCAGTTGTTGGATACTTGCAAATGAAAATTTACTTAAATACTAACTATATATGTTCATATTACATGGCTTCAATCCGGTTTATATAAAAAAGCAAGATAAAGTTCAAATGTGAAACACACTAATTACAGACAGCCACAGGAAGGAATGTCACCACATGCATCCCAAATGGACCTACACACACAATTCTACTTCTCACTCACACACAGTAAATTCTTGAGTAGTAGGTTTTATCATCATAATTAAATTTCAATTTGTTCAACAGATTGTTACACAAGCATCTAATAGTAGACAAAACTGTCACTAACTTTGTCAATACATATTGAGCGTATCTTTGCAAAGTACACCAAATATTGAACACAAGATGATATCTAACATGAAAAGATTTCATTTTTGATTCCTCGAAGATCAACATACTTTTTCATATTTCTACCACCACCCAGGTTATGTTGATAAAAAGGATCCATTTCCTGGCCAAAAACAACCCGTCTCTACTGTGTTTTACCAAGATTGGCTTCCTTGAGACATAGTCCATGATTTCCTAGAAGGGAAGGGAACACTGAATGGCACCAGTCCACTTGTTACCCACCCTTTCCAATATCTCCACTCTATCGATCTGCCTTGCTGAATCACAGTAGTTGCAAAATCCCACAAGCTTAACACTGTAGCACACCGAACTGAGTCACTAAGACTGCTGACAGTGATATGCTATGAAGAGAAATTGTGTTCCACTACTTAAAGTGTAGTCCTGAATGCAGAATGTTTTGAAAATGAAAATTTTAGCTTTTTGTGACTTTTTCTTAAAACTATATTTGCTTCTTCAATATACTTCATACCAATTGAATATTGTGTATTTACAACTGTCGATTAAACTAATTCATTTAGCATGACAAAAACTAATAGGTACTTAGAAAATTAGAAATTAACAACCAATTGGAGCTAGTATGACATGCCTGTACAATATTGGAATACTGCAATATTGGAATCAGATAGTAAATGAGGTTTCAGGAACACATTTTGGTTATAATGCGGTGAATGTTTCTGTGTCTCTGAGAAAGGGAAAATTCCATTTGATGCCCAGAAGCTTCTTGCAATTGCTTTGGCCAAAGAAAAAGTTACTGTAACTCTAATCCATTGTCTACTAATTTAAGTATAAAATCTAATCCCACTAAAAATATGGTGATGCAACTATTGAAAGTAGTTTATATTTATTTTTCATTTATATTCATTAATGTTCATACGAGTCTTCTCTAACCAATTAAATAATAGTTCAAGAAATCGTTGTTTTCTGATACTATGGCCTACAGTACTAGTTAGTTTATTTACAATTTTCTCCCAGGAGGAGAACACATACTCTTAGAGTACTTCTGAATTGAAATTAAAAATTTGGAAAGTATCCAAGTCATCACAAAAAGTGCTGCATCCTGTTCTCTCACACAATCTCTCTCATTAAACAAAAATTAAAAAAGAAAATTCAGCAAAGACTGGAAACTATGTTTGAATGATAAGTAATGTTCCAATAATGCATCCCAAAATTTGAATTAAACACATTTAAATTAAATAAATCAAATTTGTTTATATTACAACTACTACTAAAATAATAATAATAATAATAACAACAACACAAGAGAAACTATATGCACAGATAGATTTTGGTGAAACTGTATGACTACTCTACCATTAGATACTAAAAAATTGTCTTTGTATAATAAAATTTCTTCCTTCCTCAGATCTAAGTATATTTTAAATATAATAATAAAATTATATTTTGCTAAGTAACAAAGAATGAAATAAAATTATACTATATTAACATACATTCATGACACAAATTATTTATATTTATGTCCTAATTTACTTACTGAATGAGACCCATTCCCTTGGTTATGTAAGAAATATATAAATCAATACTAATAAATTGTTCCAAATAAACATTAAAATTATATCAATTACTTACACATTTTCAAATAAATGCAAATCACTAATATTAATATGACATTCCCCAGATATTCGGTTTGGTTTCAAAATATATCCACTATTAAAAGTCTTCTTTTAAAAATGCCTTAATGTGCAAAAGGAAATAATGCGCCAGTATCTTGACTATACAAGTAACGTAAATTTTAATACAAGTATTAAACAACAAAAGGTAAGTGACATTTCTCTATTAATGTCAATATTTTTCAATGCTTCCATTTTGTAATGTGAGCTCATTCTGATTTAATGTAATTTTTATACACAATTGATGCCCACACAAGTATTGATGTAGGTTTCAATTAAAAGTGTAAATTTTTAAACTACAAAACCAAATATGTCTACTCAAATACTGCATGGACAACACTTTACACTTGTGACACACCAATCGTTCACAAAGATGATGCATTAACCATTTTAAAAAGAGCAATACTATACTATGCAAACAGATCGTTCATTTGTACACTTAATTTCTTCTCTTAATGTAGGTATTCAGCATGTTTAATATATTTCAAACATGCAGTAACAATAAAAAGGGCAAGACACTAGAGATAAACGTCAATTAATTTTAAATGCACACATAAGCAAAACTGCCTTTATTGACATGTATTTTAGGAACATTCATACCTTCATCGAAATATTAATTTGCGACCACAATATTCACAGACATAACAGACCATAACATGCCCATCAAAACCAATCATCATTCAGTTTCAATATGATCATAGGTATTTTTCTAATAATATGATTAAATCAGAATTTTAAAGAAGTATATTATAAATTACATACCAAAAAAGCTTCATTGAAATATGCATTCCTTCATCCCATTCATGCTTCCTTCATCCTACACATTAATTAACAGTTTTAATATGCGACGTGCAGCAAGCAACCGAATCGCTTCAGCATAAAATGAGCATAAATCATGCAAGTAAGCTAACCCAATGTATATTTAATTTTCTGTTCATTGCATTTCTTAATTACAAAATAATGTCAAAAATACTGCTTGGCAAGTACAACTACATTCGTCATACAAGAAAAGACAACCATTATTTGAAGGTATAAAACATAACTGTACAAGTGCAAAGAGTGGTGGTTTCCATGAAAATGACTAAGCAACATAGAAATGCAGAAGATACAATCAATAATTTCTTCTTAAATTGGATAAAACTAAGTGGCTGCACAAAGCTGCCAATTAACATCCAAATGAATATCAAAACAAAGGAAGACAGCCGACAAATCACTTGGGTTTATTGCTATTCCCCTCCAATTAGAAAGAGAAAATGTACGAGGTTATATGCACATATACATTACTCATTCCATTCACATACACAAGTGCATGTAAAAGTGTATGAGAGTAAACCAAGCAACTGTGCCCGTAAACAGAGACAGAGAGAGAGTATGAGAGAGAGTGTGAGAGGGAGTGAGAGGGAGTGTGAGAGTGAGTTCCAGTGAGTGCGAGCGTCTATGAGTCAGAGGGCGAGCGTCAATGCGTGTTGAGTGAGGGGATGAGTGTGTTGAGTGACAGAGCAAATTAGTGCAAGTGTGATGCGAGTGTGAGTGCAGGTGTGAATGAATGAGTGTGATTGAAATAGTGGGCGTGCAAATAAACGAGTGGGCGTGCAAATAAACGAGTGGGCGTCCAAATAAACGAGTGGGCGTCCAAATAAACGAGTGGGCGTCCAAATAAACGAGTGGGTGTCCAAGTAGACGAGTGTGATGAGAGAAAGTCAGAATGAGAGTGATTATGGGGAGCGACTGATACGAATGAGTAAAATGGGTGAGATGGACGAGTTGGGGAAAGTGGAGAAGGGTGGGGAAAGTGGAGAAGGGTAGGGAAGAGAAGGGTAGGGAAGTGAAGGGGAAGAGAAAGTTGAAGAACACGTGTTTGCATATGAGAACACAAGTTACTGGTGGTTCCACTTGGAAGAAATGTGTTGATGTAGGAAAAAGCTGTAAGAGGAGTGAACTGGAAAAAGAAAAAGAAGGAAAGGCAACAGAGAACAGTAGAAAAATAATAGGGCAAGATTTCTCTCTAAATCAGAAGGGTTGTAAGGAAAGTAAAATGACAATGTACAAATCCAGACTTTTCATTCACAAGTCATCTTTTCAAAACATTTTTCTGGGCTTTAAAAAGCATCTCTCCGAAATTTAGATTCAAATAATAAAATCTACAATTACAAAACGATTTGGTATACTCTGAAATTACAGTCCAACACCAACATCAGTCTACTTCTCTAAATACTTTACTTCATTCCTCGAAGGAAATAATTCCAGAAGCAACCAATACATCATATGAATGTACGAAATGTCTACCACTATTATAATACATGGATGCACCAGAACAAAGAAACAATACTTACAAAGCACAAAGCAATATTGACAGCAGTTAAACAGAGGCAGAGAAATTATCTACAATGCATCAACTGAACTGGAGTACGACGTCTGGCTCGAAATATGTATCACTGTCAACAGAATTGTACTAAATACCAATATTTTATAGAAGTCATGCCCTACTTTATGAAGTACTGCCTTTCTAAGAAGCAAACAAAATTCTGGCATGAGACATACATCTAAACAAGAAACAGAGTTATGCCCTGCATTCATGCTGTGAGAGAGAATACCTCTGCGTTATCTC